GATGTGTATTACAGCAATGCCAAAAAATATCCACTTATAGGAGCTACTTTAGTATTAAAAATTTTCTGTAACATTTTCATTTTTCTATAATTCACATGTACTATTTTTGTAATAGAAATATTATTTCATTATAACAAATAAACATGCAGTTTCCACATATCCTTGTGACACATCTTATAAAGTATGTGGTTACTAATTTTTCCTTTGCTCCACCCCCATTCTATTTTGTTGGCTTCTCTTTTCGATGTGTAGAGCTTCTGCACCCCAAGCTGTGGGTGACATGCTCTGATGGTGTAGGACCTGGGGCTCATTACTTAGAGTTTCCAGGGTCTTTTCTTGGGGGGATGGGATGCAGTTGTGGGACATGGGAGCTATTTTTTTAAGTGCTTATTTTGATGAAGCTTATAAAGGGCACGTAGTATACCAAATAAATTAACTTTCTCTGCCCAGTGGACTGGTTTGCTTAGGAGAGCAATTTGCACACAAATTAAAATGACAAAGGTAGGAGGCACAGAAAAACATTGGTGCTTTTATTCACACTTCATATAAGATTTTAAATGACTGCTCCATATTATTGTTGTTATTATTTTCATTTGGATTGGCTCTGTGGGAGATGTGATGCTGCTGACGGAGATTTAGGTGGGACCAAAGGCCTGTCATACCTTGACACTGGTTGGAAGAAGTGTTTCATCATCTGTCAAGAATACTACCAGTAATCTGTTTTCACTCTAGCACTTTTTAAATTACCTTAGAACTGAAGGATGCAGTGAGAACCGCATCAGTGTTTTACAATCTCTAAATGTCAGATTAAGATATGAGTGAGGGATTGTGTAGTCAAGTTAATGGATACTTGTAGAAAAACTGACATTTCCCCTTAGGGCAATATACACATTAGAGATATTATTACTAGAGAATTCAGCTTTGGGTGGAGCTAGGAATTAATTTAAATTAATGAATTTGATTTGAGTGTTTTCTATTTTCAAGTCACCTGGCTAAGGACTGAAAAGCTAAAAGATAAAGCCCAAACTTGGAAACAACCCAGATATCCTTCAGTGGGCAAATGGTTAAACCAACTGTGCTGGATCCCTAGGCTACTAGCCAGCAATAAAAAGGAACAAACTCGATAGATGTTAAGGGTTTGGATGGATCTCAAGGTATTATGCTGAGTGAAAAAAAGCCAGTATCAAAAGCTCACATAGTGCATGATTTCATTTATACAGTTATAGAGATGGAGAACATATTAGTGTTTGCCAGGGATTAGGTTCAGGAGTGTTGGGGGGTGGGGTGGAGTGGTTGTTGATTATAGAGCACAAGGGAAATTTTTGTGGTAATGGACAGTTCTATATCTTAATTGTGGTGGTGGTTACACAATGTACACATGTGATAAAATTGCATTGAACCACACACACACACACACACACACACACACACACACACACACGAAATGCATGTAAAACTGGTGACTCTGAAAAAGTTCTGTGGCTTGTAACAAGGTTGAGTCCATGATTTTGAGAGTATACTATAGTTATATAAGATCTTACTTCTGGGGGAAACTGAGTGAAGAGTACCTGGGACCTCTCTGTACTATTTTTGCAATTTCCCATCACCCTATATCATTTCAAAATAAAAAGGGTATTTTTTTTTTTTTTTTAAGTTGAAAGATAAGAAAGATACAGCTCCTGTTCTCAAGCTACTTAAAGTTTATTAGGAAGATGGACTTACATGAAAGTCTTCAAAGAGATCATTCTGGAGTATAATAAAAAATGATTTAGAAGAAGTATTAATTTAGGGGCATGAGATTCAGGGAAAATTTTTCAGAAATAGTGGGAGCTGTGAATGAGCTTCCTATGGAAAGAGAGTGGGAAAGGGGTCAGAGCTGAGCAAAGTGCCCGGTGGGCAAATAACTTCCTTGCTCTCAGATAAAGGAGTCTCAGAAAGCCATTCTTTTAGTCCAGTTTCACTTCTAAGAAACTGATTATACTTTCTGAAAGAAATTCACTGAAGAACTTACAGTGCACATGAATTCATATTGATTAAAATTAATTTAATTGCTTGTATTTTTCTATAAGAATTATGAATGGGTATTTAAGTTTGAGAAACTATAGCAACCTAGTGAGCCTGTTATGAAGTTGTGAGCATGAGATCCTTGCTTTGTATAAATGTAAAAGTAAGAAAAAAGGAAAAATATTATCAAATTTTCATAAATTCATATTACAAAGTCTGCAAGCTACTCATCGATGAAGGATTATTAGACTTTCTGCCTTCTTGCAACTGATCCAGATATTTCAGAAAGATAGTGAAAAATGTGCTATAATTGACCTGACTAGCAATCTTTCACCCATCTCAATTTTTTTCCATCTTTATTGAGATATAATTGACATATAACATTGTTTAAATTGAAGGTGTACAATGTGTGACTTAATACACTTATACATTGTGAAATGTCTACCACAAAAAAGGTTAGTTAACAAATCCTTCATCTCACATAATTGCTATTTGTTGTTTTTATTGTGAGAACATTAAAACTTTACTTTCATAGCATCTTTCAAGTAATCAGCAGTATTAACTAGTCTAACCATGCTATACATTAGATTTCCAGAACTTTTTCATCTTATAACTGAAAGCTTGTCTTTGAACAATATCTCCTCATTTCTCCCACCTCTTATTCTCTGGCAACCCCATTCTACTTTCTGTTTCTATGAGTTTGATGTTTTAAGATTCCACATATAAATGAGATGATACAGCATTTGTCTTTCTCTGTCTGACTTATTTCACTTAGCATAATGTCCTCAAGGTCTGTCCATGTTGTTGCAAATGGCAGGATTTCCTTTTTTATGGCTGAATATTATTCCATTGCATGTGTATATATACCATTCACTGATGGACATTGAGGTTGTTTCCATATCTTGGTACTGTGAATAATGCTGCAATAAACAGGGGAATGTAGATATATTTTCAAAATAGTGACTTCATTTCCTTTGGATACATACCCAAAAGTAGGATTGCTGGATCGTATGGTAGTGCTAATCACTCATCTCAATTTGATGGTTACAGTTTGAAAAATATATATATATCATTTTCCCATCTCCTGCCTTAATTTTCCAAGTAATTTTGGTCTAGGTTAATACAAATATGACCATTGTCATTTATATAGCATCTGAACATATTTATATAGGTGTATGCTGAGGTGTGGATTTGAGGATATCAAACTTCCTGGGTTAAAATCACAAATCCTTCACTTGTGCATATTTGACTTTTATGCCTCATTTTTCTCTGTGCTTCAATTTTCTCAACTGTAAAATGAAAATGGCCGCAGTACTATCTCATAGGGTTATAAGTTTTAGATAAGATATTTTATGTAAAACCCTTAGCAAAGAATAAGCTATTACTCAGACCTATGATAGTCAATATATTTGTTACCATATGCAGAGCTGGGGTATAAAAAGTACTGGTATGGTAAAATTGGGGCATTATTTTCTTCTGTACCTCTTAGTTTAATTTAAAGCAGTGAAGCTTGGAGTTTTTAAAAAATACTTTTTATTGAAATAAAACATATGTAACAGAATAAAATGCATACATTGTAAATGTATAGCTTAAACTGATACTAAAACTTCATGCTATTCTTGGAACTCTTACTAAAGCCTAGAATCAATGTTTGGCATTATTTAGAGACTGAAATAAAGCAAGGTTTTGGGTATTCCAAGTGCCCCTCCTTGATGGTTCTAAATTAGGCTTTCTGGGAACTGCTTTAAATGTTACTTAGGTACAAATGCAGTAGTATAAATTCTGCTTTGATAGCAAAGACATAATGGTTGATCAGTTGAGTTTATCTTTAGAGCAAAACAAGAGAGAATTATTTCTCATGTCATAAATTAGGGCTATTGCCTACTGTCAATAAGCTCCAGTACACTATTATCAAAAAGCTTTATTAATTTCACCTTGTTTTAAAGACAGGGACCTATAGTGTATAGGTTTAATAATTAGTAATTTACCTTTTCCTAGTCATTCCCAATTTTGTCTC